GGGGGGGGGTGCTGTTAAAATACGGATAGCTGGGCCCTACCCAGAGTTTCTGATTCAGGCGGTCTGGGTGAGGGCTGGGACTTTGCATTTCTAACAAGTTTCCAGGTGGTGGTGCTGCTGGTCAAGGTCTACACTTTGAGAACTGCCTCCGTAGTCCCCCTTCATTTTACAGATTTGAAAACTGAGCTCGAGGGAAGGGGAATTACCGTTTTCTGTGAAGCAGGTGCTGTAACCGCTGTTTCTTCAACTTCTCTCTGCTGCCTCCTGGTGGCTATTTCAATATTGCCTAGAACTAAGTCATTTATACAAATTCAGGTGTTGAAACATGAACTATTCTCATTTTTTGGTACAGAGGTCATTTTACAGTAGGCGAGTTTATCACCTTACTTACTGGAAGCAGTAGGAAAATACACTTGACTATCACTAGGTGGGGATATTGTAATACAATAATTATTAAAATGATCACAAAAATGTGCAGACGTGTAAGAGATAATTTTAAGTGAAAAATACAGAAGGGCAAATTATGCTTCTGTTCATATTACAACTCCGAAAAACTACATACTGTCTCTATATTTATAAAGGCATAAGAAGTCTTGGAAGCATATACATCCAATTGCTAATCGTGTTTATTTTTGTGAGGTAGGATTTTCAGGAGACTTTTACTTTCTTGTACTGTTGAGAATTATTTTTACACAGACTATAAATTATCATGAAAAAGCCCCTGGATATTTCACAAACAAAAGACCAGCCATATATATGGATATAGAGTTCAAGGTCATCAAAGGATAATAGAAGCTACAAGAGTATGGTGAGGTTATAAGGGAATAAAATTTCTTTCTGACATGCTTTAAGGTTGGTTTAGTAACAGATTAATATTTAAATGAAGCACAGAGTGAATTTGTAGCACATGAAAGCCAAGGCCAGAGGAAGTGTTCTCAGTGGGGTGACTGACTGTCTGGTGTAGCAGGAGTCCCTTTATCTCTTCATCTCTGGGCTCAGAGGCTTTGATGGGGGCAGGGCCAAGGGAGGCATTCTTACAGCCCAGGATATACTCAGAGGGAGCCATTACTCTGCTTTCTATCAATACCCATTCCAGTTTGCTCTCTTTCCAGCTCAAAGCTGAACTCTTGGACATTGCCACGGAGAACCAGACCCTCAATGAGACCCTGGGTTCTTTGTCAGATGCAGTTGTGGGTCTGACCTATGACCAGCTGGAATCCCTCTCCCCAGAGGCTGTGCATGGCGCCATCTCTACCCTCAACCAGGTCTCAGGTTGGGCCAAGAGCCAGGTCATCATCTTGTCTGCCAAATACTTGACCCATGAGAAGGTAAGTTGGGACTTTTAACTCTTCTTTGGTTTCCCTGAGACCCAAGGGCCAGGGTATTAGTCTGCTCAGGCTACCATAGCAACATATCATAGATTGGGTGGCTTAAACAACAGAAATTTATTTTGCACAGTTCTAGAGGCTGGGAAGCTCAAGATCCACTTGCTGGTAAGGTAGGTTTCACTTTAAGTTCTCTTCTCTTGGCTTGTAGGCAGCCGCCATCTTGCTTACTTGACTTATTTGGGCATCTTACTCTATCAGCAACCTCTCTGGTACTTCCTCCTCCTTCTCCTCCTCCTTCTTCTTTGTTTGAGTTGGGGTCTCACTCTGACACCCAGGTTGGAGAGCAGTGGCACAGTCATGACCGCTACAGCCTCAACCTGCTGGTTTCTCAGGCGATCCTTCCAAGTAACTGGAATCTCAGGCATGCGCCACCATGCCCAGCTAATTTTTTGATTTATTGAAGAGATGAGGACTCACCAAGTTGCCTAGGCTGGTCTTGAACTTCTGGGCTCAGGCAATCCTCCTGCCTCAGCCTTCCAAAGTGCTGGGATTACAGGGATGAGCCACCATGCCTGGTTTGGTATCTTTTTTCATAAGGGCACTAATCCCATTGGGTCAGGGCCTCACCTAACACTAGTTACCTCTTAAGGGCTCCACTTCCCAATACCATCACATTGGGGGTTAGGGCTTGAACATATGAATTTTAGGGGGACACAAACATTTAGTCCATAAGAGCCAGTTATACACACACAGCAGGGACAATCAATTAACTTCATTTTGCCTCAGTTTTCCTACTTGTAAAATGGGGATAACAATAGCACTTACCCCATAGCATTACTGCAAATGTTATGTGACTTGGCACACATAATGAGGTGGAACATCAGGTGACACCAGAGAGTATAAGCACAAGAAGTGTTAGCTATCACTGAATTGTTGATCAATGTGTGGACCCTTCCCAGGGTTTTTTTTTGCTCATTGTTGAGCTGTTAACACACCTCTCGTCATGAGATCAGGGACACTGCTATTGTATTCTAGTCTTGGGCTGCAGAGAGGGAACTGTCAGGGAAGAAAGTCCTATTTGGGGGAACAGGAGCCTTAGTCTATACTCTAGCTGCTCCTGGGGTAGGGGGGATGGGCCTTTTTTTCTGGGGAAATTAGTCTCCCTGTGCTGGGGTCAGTGCAAAGGGCTCCAGCCCACAGAGACCCAGGTCCTAAGAATTGTAGTGTAGTGTCCTGTTCTTTCAGTTCACACTCACAGCTACTTACAGGTTGCAAACTGGCTCACAAGGGTTGAATTGGGACCAGTTCCAATATAAGAATAACAAGGAACATTTATTAAGCACTTACTACATGCCAGGCTCTATTCAATCATTTAATCTTCCCAACAGCCCTATGAGGTCAGCAGTGCTCTCATCTTCATTTCCCAGCTCATTCATGTGAGTGTGTGGGGACTTTCCAAGGTCACACAGAAGGGACACAACTGGGGCTGTACCTGGGGCATCTGGTTTCAGAGCTTCCTCACTTAACTCTCAGGCTAAGTTGCCTCCATTATGACAGCATGGCCAATGTCCACCCGTTCTCACTCTCCAACCCAAGGGCCAAGTTAGCCCATTCATTTTGTTCATTCTTGCTTCATGGTGATTTTATTTGGAAGGCTTTGAAGATTTTCCCCATTTCTGGATCTCAGGGCTCCATAAGTCCACCTTGACAGTTCTCTGAATTTGATTTTAGGGAGCTGAGACTGTTTTGTTTCTTCCCAGTCCTGGACAAAGTGGTTTATCTCTTCCCTAATATCTTATCTCTTCTCTAATATCTAACTCTTCCTACTGAGGAGTGATTTATTAGAGAAACCAAGAGAGCAAAAGATCTTGCCCTCCTTGGGGACAGTAAGAGACTATTTACTTTGTAGACAATAACTAAAGGAAATCATTCAAGTGTCTTTTCCCAGAACCAAGGTATATTCCTGATAATATGGAAAACCATCGAGCATCTTTATTCAAAATGAGGGTTAAAAAAAAAAAGAACAACTCAAATATCATTTCTGATAGGCCAGTCAGTTACAAGCATATTTGCCGTAAATATCAGATATGTATCAGAAACATGTCTTCATTTCAACTTAAAGCTTCTAGCTATGCACAATGGCTCACGTCTATAATCCCACCACTTTGGGAGGTAGAGGTGAGAGGATTGCCTGTGCCCAGGGATTAGAGACCAATCAGAGCAACTTGGCAAGACCTCATCTCTACAAAAAAACAAAAAACCAAAAACCAAAAAATTGGGCGTGGTGTTGCTTGTCTGTGCTTTCAGCTACTTGGAAGGCGGAAGGATTGAATAAGCCCAGCTGGTCGAGGCTGTGGTGGCCAGGAGCATGCCACTGCACTCCAGACTGGGCGACAGAGTGAGACTCCAACTCAAAAAAAAAAAAAAATGTTGTCAGCTAGTTCCAATTCAACACACAAAAAGCCCATTGCTGGGCTAGCTGTGGCTCTTGGGTACTCACGCTTTGACTTTCGTACTGTGGCCTTGGACAGCATAGTAACTCCCCCAACAGAGCATTAGCTATGTGTCTCATGTTTTGATATTTATTTCTCTTTCCTGGTAGAAGGAAGGAAGGTCTGTGGAGGCGGCATCAGTCTTGCTCACTGTTGTGCCCCTCAGGTGTTGTCTATCCCGATACCTGGCACTCAGACGGGTACACTGAGAGGGGAAAGGCTGGGGCAGAGCCTGACCATGGCTGTTTCTCTCCAGGTACTGTCTCTCTCCAGTGTCAGCCAGCTGGGCACGCTGCTGACCGGGGTCAGCACTCAGGCCTTCTGCAGCATGGACCGCAGGGACCTCTCGCAGGTCCTGAGAAGCACCATCTCCCAGCACGTGTCCGATTTGTCACCTACCCAGCAGCAAGGAGTCCTCAGCAAGGTGAGAGGAAGATGTTGGGTCCTCATTCACTTGGCTTATGGGGGATGTGGTTTTGCGGTTTTGTGTGGGGGCTGTGACTTTGGGCCATTAATCCAGGACTGGGGTTACCTCAGCCATTGGTGTGAGGGGTTGTTCCTTTTGATGGCTCACCATCCCTTATTTCTTGACAGAGCTCTTTGGTTATGCTATTGTTCTTCCAGACCCTAGACCCCACTGCTCTCCCAGACAGTCTAATCTAGAAAATTTTTCTTAAATTAGGCTCTTTTTTTTTTTTTTTTTGAGTTGGGGTTTTACTCTGTCCCCCAGGCTGGAGTGCAGTGGTACGAGCATGGCTCACCACAGCCTTGACCTCCTGAGCTCAGGAGATCCTCCTGCCTCAGCCTCCCAATTAGCTGGGACTACAGGAACATGCCACCATGCCTGGGCTAATTTCTTGATTCTCTATAGAGACAAAGTCTTGCTGTGTTGTCCAGGCTGGTTTTGAACTACTAGGCTTAAGCTATCTTCCTGCCTTAGCCTCATAAAGTGCTGGTATTACAGGTGTGAGTCACTGTGACTGGCTAAATCAGGCTTCTTTGTCTAATAATGTTTTAAAAATTTGTTTTTCTAATCTAACAATAAACCCTGAAGTTCTCAGAGTGCTTCTGAAAGCCCCTTTCATGGTCCACAGTCGAGCCTGTATTCCTTTCTCACCTGGCAGTGTTTTTTAGGGCACTTTGCTCTATCAAGCTTGCTCTGTTAAATTGAAAAATCTGTTAAAAATCCAAATCTAAGGGGTTTGGCCTTAAACACCAACAGCTTGCAGATAATGATAGCCCATATGGCTAAGATAAAGAGTGTGGGTTTTGGAATAAGATAGACTTGGGCTTGAATCTTACTTACTAACTTTCAACCAATCACTCTTTAAATCTCAGTTCCCTCACCTGTGCAATGGGGAGAATGATAGCCATTATTTTGTAGGGCTGCTGGGCAGATCTGATAGATTTTATTGCCCCAGAAGCAGTGTCCAGCCCTTACTCAAAGTTCACTTCACCTTTTACAATGTTCTTATTAGGCTTCTTCTTACTTTTGGCAGATGATCGGAGCAGGAGACATCGCCTCAGGCCTCGTGGAGATACAAGGGTCTTTCTTTAAGGAAGTGTCTCTCTTCGATTTATGGAGGGAACCTGGATTCAACTCTACGGTCCTGAAGGAAAAAGAACTTCGGAGGAGCCAGGTACGACCACAGTGCCCACAGATGGATCCTATATTTCTGACCATCTGTCTTGTAGGAATGGCCTGTTTGAGGTTAATTTGGTTAAACATTTTATTTCTGTATGATTAAACCCAGGAGGCAGAGTTGCATAATGTTAAGAAGTTAGATAAGACCTGAATGTGCATTCTGTCCTCCTATTTATTTATTAGCTTTGGAGAAACTGCTTTTCCTTATATGTCCTCAGTTTTCTCATATGCAAAATGGGGATAATTTCTTGTGAGGATCAGCGATATATGCCACCTTGGCAGTGTGCTATAAATATTGTGGTGATTAAGTGTGTTATTAAATGCTGCTAGCACTAAGGCCATCCTGGGTGGATGGTGCTATTAAGACAGATGCCCTGTCTTAAAACTGCCCTTTTCATCCAGACAACCTTTATTGATTCACTCAGTAAATATTTATTCAGCACCTGCTAGCCCTGTGCCAGGCACTGCTCACGGCGCTAAGAATGCAAGAGTGAACAAAATGGACAGAAATCCCCATCTGTGCAGGCGGCTCTTGCTCAGGGTCCCTCATGAGATTGGATGATGTCCCAGTGATCTATTACTGTGTAAAAAACCACCTCCAAATTTTGTGACACTGGCAATCATTTTCTTTTGGAAACTATATCCTGCCCCCAATGACTTCAAGATCCATTGGTATCCGCAACTGAGGTGATGGAAGACAGTGGATGGGTTCCAGAACTTGGCTCCATGCCCAAGGACATCTCTGAGGCCACACACACTGTCCAGGATTTCCCTGCACTGCCGCTGCTTTTGCCTGGGCTTTTGTGCTGCTTTAAGGCCCTCAGCTGCCGTATCTAACGCTAACCCATAATTTATTCTGTTTGGGGAATTATGTTCAAAGTTTCAGAGTCTATAAAATAGACAAATGTGGGACTTGATTGCATCTGCAAGTTAGGGATTCTGTGAAATTATGTTCCTTAAAACAAATGACTCCCCTGCCTACTATGCATTTTTCTCCCAGAGTGCTCATCTGGGAGGGTTTGTGGGGAGTGCTGCAAGCAGGTACTTTATTGCTGGTGTTTGTAACCCACCCTGGTCTATTCTGGGATGCCTCGTGTTCAGAAACTAGCAGGTGGGCATGTAAAGTAGGGGTCACAGAGAGCCCTCCGCTGGCCAGTGGCTTCATAAAGCACAGAAATAAAACACCAGCCCCAGCCCTGCCACCATTTACCTTATTTGTCTCCTGGAGCATAGGGAATCACCTGGCATGTGAGAGGGGGCTCTGGAATTACTCTGACATGGGTCCAAATCCCAGCTCTGCCACTTAGCAGTTATATGGTTCCAGGTAAATAATAGGGTATATGAGAGGGCACCCTCCCAAACTGGAATTATCTTTTGGGAGGGTGGGCTTCTTGTAGTACAGACTTCCCTCACTAGGTAAGTTCTATTAATAGAAACCCGTCGGTAATAGTGTAGCAGCTATGTTGTGAGAGGTTTCATTCAAATTCAGTTATTCTTTTTTGGAGATTCTTTCAACACATTTGCCCATTTCATGATGGGTGATTTACAGGTGCGCCTGCCCACACTATGCTGAGTGTTCAGCAGTTTTGGATCAAAAACAACATGACCCCCATACCTCATCCTTTCTATTCACACGATCTTGCCTCGAGTGACTTTTTTGTTTCCCTGGATGAAAAAGTCCTCAAAGGAAAATGTTTTGCTGATGTGAAAGAGGCGAAACAAAAAACAGCAGAAGCGCTAAAAGGCATCAACACTGACAAATCCAAAAACTGTTTTGAGCAATGGAAAAAGCATCTCGATAGGTATGTTGTATCAAATGGAGAGTATTTCAAAAGTGACTGAAGGTTAAACATGTAAGAATAAATACACCACTTTTAATAAATAAATTCTGGTTTTTTTTGGTCCTCCCTCTTAGTTTGCTAAGGCTCCATTCCCCCAACTGTAAAATGGGATCACAGAATGTCTTCCCCACAGGGCTGCATGGTGCTGGGCATGCAGTGAGTGCTCTGTCCACACTGTTGACGTTCTCTTCCCTCAGGCCTTATTCCTGTATGAGCTTCTGTTAAAGACCACCAGAAGGCCTGAGGAGCTCCTAAGGTAGGAGAATGGAGCCCAGTTGGGGGGCTGAAGAGACCCTGGGAGCCTTCTGCCAGAGGAGCCTAATTTCCCAGGAGGGAGAGTTGGACAGTCACATCTGTAGCCTGTGCCAATCTGTAGCCTGTGCCAGATCAAATCTGCCTTCTCTTGCTCTTTTTTTCCTCTCTCCTTCCCACTCTCTTCCTCTCCCGAGTCCCTTGTTTTGTTTTCCAGCACTGGGCAGCTGGTCAAAGGCGTGACCTGCTCACACATTGATGCCATAAGTACCGACTCATTTCTGGCCCATTTCCAGGACTTTGAGAACAACCTCTCTTTGCTTTCACCGTATCAGGTACCATCAGAGCATTTTCCTGCTTCTAATGTGCTCCCTACCCCCATCACTGGGCCTGGATTGGTGGAAGCATCTAAAGATATTTATGCCAGAATTATTCAGATGTGAGTGATGACTTGGGGCCAAATATTGAGCCGGGTTTTCTCCAGTTTCTTTTTAAAAAAAGCTCCAAATACCCACATCTATTCAGCCAAAGTTTCAACAGATTGGTTATTCCATCCTCAAATTTGAACCTTAAAATATATGTGTAAGGTACACTGTTTTGCATGTTCATAATTATGTTTTCCTGGGACAGACGGTAATCCCTCATCTAAGATTCCTATCCTTTTCCAGAGATAGCCATGGATAGGAACAATACTGTGAGAGCATTTTCTTTTTCATTTATTTATTTACTTTTTATTTTTATCTTTTATGGGCTCCCTTCCCAGTCACACCCTTCATGACCATTCTTTTTCATTCAAACCTACATTTTCCCATCAGTTGTGGAGACTCTTGAACCCTTTGGGGAGGCTAGAAATAGTAACTGAGTTTTTATAGTATCCAAGCTAGTAAAGATGGGTCTTGTAGCATTTGGGCTTTGGGTAGGAACTGTTGGCTTACAGCATCCTGAGAGGGTGAGCAAATGCATATACGGGGCTTCGTCTCAGCTCTGATCTTGCTTCAGACCTGAACGAAAAGTTTCCAGAGAGCAAATTATCTCCTCTGGAACCAGCATCTGGCTTGGTGTATAATCCTTTGAGCTCATTAGAGGAATATGCAAAGTTTGAACGAAGTCCTCTCATTCCTTCGGATTGTTTATTCTATCAGTGGTTCTCAGGCCTGAGCTTGCATCAGCATTGCCTGAAAGCCTGTCGGGAGACAGATTGGGGGTTCCCCCTCCCAGACTTTCCCATATAGTAGGTAAGGGGCGAAACCAAGAATTTGCATTTCTAGTGGTTCCCGGTGAGAACCGTTAAACTATATTAGAAGTCCTGCCGAGGCAGGGAAGCCAATAGCTGAGCAGATAGTTAGAGGGCAGACCTGCATTGAGGAAGACCTTCGTGTTTGAGCAGGAAGAGTTGCCCCAGCAATGATACTTCTCTAGACTTCCAGTTTTTAGAACCTTCAAATACCAGTTAACTAGAACATTTGCCTTTATTGTTTATATTTTTACAGAAAAGACATAATTATTACAAAAAATACAGAGAAAGTAAAATTTTCTCAATTTTCCCTTAGAGCTGTGGTTCTCAATAGCCCCTTAGGGGACTTTTGGCCATGGCTGGAGACATTTTTGTGATGTCACAACTGGGGTGGGGGGGACGCTGGCATCTAGTGGGTAGAGGCCAGAGATGCTGCTCAGCGTCCTACAATGCACAGGGCAACCCCACAACAACAAGTTATCTGGTCCAAAATGTCTATAGTGTGGAGACTAAGCAACCCTGTTTCAGAAGTAACTACAAGGAGAAGTTTGCTGTCGACTTTGAGAGTCATTTTTTGGCACATAAAACATATTTACATGTCATGTAAAAAACATACAAAAGAGCTCATGCTATACATACTATTCTGTTAAATTATATATATATAGTGGCATAGACATTGTTTAATGTCAATATATATGTCTACCCTAATAAAACAAAATAGTTGTGTAATATTCCATTGTATAGATATACTCTATTTAACCAATCCCCAACTGAGGGCCATAAAGGTTATAGCCCATTGGCCAGGCACAGTGGCTCAAGCCTATGATCTCAGCACTTTGGGAGACTGAGGCAAGAGGATTGCCTGAGCCTGTGGGTTTGAGACCAGCCCAGGCAACTTGGCAAGACCTTGTCTCTACCATAAACCAAAAATTAGCTGGGCGTGGTAGTACACTCCTGTAGTTCTGGCTCCTTGGAAGACTGAGGCAGGAGGATCATTGGAGCCCAGTAGGTCGATGCTGCGGTGGCTGTGAGTGTGCGACTGCACTCCAGCCTGGGCGACGGAGTGAGACTCCCACTCAAAAAAAGAAAAGAAAAGAAAAGAAAAAAGGCCCATTTCCTACAGTTATAGATAAAATTGTGATGGGCATTCTCATACTTAAACTTGTATGCTCATCTTGTTATTGCCTCAGTCTCCTCATTCATAAGCTGGACATCCATAGGGTGCTCTATTATATAAGTGAACATATTAAAGCACTAAGAACAGTGCCCGACATACAGAGCATTATCTGTGTTTTCTTTTATTATTATTGGACTAAATTCCTAGAACTGCTTAATCTTTCAGGTTAACTGTTTGGCGTGGAAATACTGGGAGGTTTCCAGGTCATCTATGCCGCCTTTCCTCTTGGCTGCACTCCCGTAAGTAGACATCAGCCACCACTTTCTGGCTTAGCAGTAAGTTTTGGGAATCAACCAAACCAAAGTGATGCTCTCCCCTGGGTTTTCTTGAGGAACCAGAGGCAGAGTGGGGCATGCCCTAGACAGTTAAACCCTTGAGAGCCAGGATTTAAAATTTGAGCCACATATAGCTTCTCTTGTTTTCCCTGTTATTTAAAAACCAAAGCCAAAGCCACCCAAGCCTGGATAAGTGTCAGTAATCCCACCTGGGATGGGCTTGCAGTTGTGTTAGGGGCATCAGGTCTTATGTAAGCATAGGCATTCCTCCTGGTATGTAAGGGCTTTCAGGCCGGCAGGGTGGCCCTGCTTTTCAAACATGGCTTGGACACTGTTTCTCTCCTTTTATCCTTTTTTATTTCCCTCTATCTTCTTTTGTTATTGTCTTCTTTCATTCAAAAATGTTTATTGAGTATGTACTGTGTGCTGGTTCTTAGAGACATCTAAATTTTTCCCTTATGCGAGCATACAGTCTCATGGGGAAGGGAAGGAAATAGACAAACATGAAACCAATTATAATATCAAGTTGATATTTGGTTGAAAGTGACAGAACTTAAACTCAGAAACTAGCTTAGGCAATAACAAGGAATTTTTGATTCAGGTAACTGGAAAGTTCAGGGAGGGTCTTCAGGAATGGCTGGATCTAGGGGCTCAGATGATAATCTTGTATTCCTCTGTTGGCTTCACTGTCAGGAAAGTTCTTGCCTGACATTTTCTCAGCTTCATATTCAGGGAGAAGAAAAAATCTTCTCTTCTCATCTTTCTCAATAAAAGTCTTAGGTTTTTTAACTGGGCCACTTTGTTCTCCTTGAGCCAATCAGTGGGTTGGGAGGATGGATGGCTTTGCCTGGCTTGGGTCTGTATTGCATCCCTGAAGTAAAATTGGCTCCATTTAGGACTTAGAGAGAGGGGAATGGTTTTCTAAGAAAGCCAGGTGCTTTTACTGGGAGAAGAGACAATAGGCACAGGGCATGGAGGAGGAAACACAGTCTTTAGCCTGGAGAGTCAAGGGAGACAGAACTATAGAATGAGTCGAGATAGAGAGGTGAAGATGGGCATTCCAGGCAGGGGCACAGGGGCATCTGGTCCAGAGTGGGTAAGGAAGCACTCTGGGAACTCATACGGTGTCTCTGCAGAGTAGCTGGGAAAGGGAAGGCCAGAGAAGTAAGGGACATCGGATCATGTGTGGCTCCTTGAGGTTTTCCACTCATATTCTGGGTGCAAGCATCAGATTTACATTTCAAAAAGATCATCACCACTGCCCATGCAGAGGACAGAATGCAAGGGCCTGAATGGAAGGAGGGAGACACAGAAGATTCTTTCAGTAACCCAGATTTGGCATGGCTATCTCCTTCCACTCACCCATGTCTCAGCTCAAGTTGCGCTGCCTTAGAAGGCGCTCCTCTAACTACAACCCCTGCCATCATTCTTGCTCTCTCATTTTTTTTTGAGTCTGTTGCCCAGGCTGGAGTGCAGTGGAACAATTATGGCTCACTACAACCTCGACCTCCTGGGCTCGGGTGATCCTTCCGCCTCAGCCGCCTGAGTAGGTAGGACTACAGGTGTGTGCCACCACATGTGGCTAATTTTTTGTAGTGATGAGTCTCTATGTTGTGTAGGCTGGTCTTGAACTCCGGGCTTGAGCAATCCTTCCGCTTTGGCCTCTCAAAGTGCTGGGATTACAGGCATGAACCACTGCACCTGGTCTCATTCTCTTTTACAGAGCCATTTTATTTTCTTCATTACATTTATTATTGGCTGAGATGACCTGTTTTATTCATCTGTTTCTATGTTTCTTCTTCTTGCCAAAATGAAAAGCTATGAGGGCAGGAACCACTTGTGTCATGTCATTGCTGCATCTGGTGCCTAGAACAGTGGCTTGTGTATGGTAGATGCTCTGTAGATATTTGCTGGATGAATGAATGAAGACATCCGTAAGACAGTGGTAGTGAGAATGAGAGGTGAAAACAGATTTGGTTAAAAAGATAGCAATGGCAGATTCGGGAATAAAGAAAAAAAAGAGTCTAGCATAGCACAGAGGAGGAAGAACATGTGGGGGAAGATGCTAAACCTGGTTTTGGAATGGTCAGGTAGTGAGGATAAGGCCACAGGGGTCTCATGCAGTTTTTCTCAACCTTCATTTCATTATTGTCTCCCTAAGCAGAACATTTTAATTACTTTCTACTCAGAAAAATTGTATACTAAGGAAAAGATTTTGTTGAGCATTGGTGGGTCCCAAATCATTGTTATAACTAAGATTGTTTTTCACCTCCCACCCGAACCAGTTCTTCCCTCTTGAAGATGACATTGACCCTGTTGCAAACAAGGTCAAGAACTTAGCGCAGAGTTCTGGACTGGAGATGACAAAATTAGGAGTCATTTCTTTTACTTTTTCCACTCTCTTTTTCTCGTTGTTCTTCCTCATTTTCTATTTTATTCTCTCTTTTCTTTGTTTGTTTCTTCATCTACTTTTTCTTTTCTGTTTCCTCATTTCCCCTCAACTAGTCCATCATTCAACTTGTTTATAGAGAACCAATTCTCTGATCAATGCTTCTGGGGCATAGAAGAGGAGCATGAGGGAAAGTTTGTTTCTCATCCATAGAAGAGGAGCATGGTGGGAAGTTTGTTTCCTGCCCATAGAAGAGGCGCATGGGAGGAAGTTTGTTTTTCACCCGTAGAAGAGGAGCATGATGGGAAGTTTGATTCTTACCCATAGAAGAGGATAATAATGGGAAGTTTGTTTCCCACCCATAGACGAGGAGCATGGTGGAAAGTTTGTTTCCTGCCCATAGAAGAGGAGCATGATGGGAAGTTTGTTTTCCACCCACAAGAGAAATGCATGTTGGATAGGAGGCTTGCTACCTGCTATAGGGAGCCACAGCATTCTTGGGGAGAATAAATCTTTAAAGAACATCCCTGAGATGAACTCTTGAGCATGTAGGTCCTGATTTCAGGTGTAAATACAGAGTAGCCAGTGTTTTCCTCTCTCATTTTCCCCATCTCTCTCTAGGGCCCGCTACCTGGCTTCTATTCCAGCCTCCCAGTGTGTGCCTTTTCTGATCAGCCTGGGAAAGAGTCAGTTGGACTCTTTGGTTTTAGATTCCCACAAAAAGACTTTAGTCCTCAGGAAAGTACAGCAGTGCTTGGTAAGGAGACTCTTTCTGGGTATCCCTTCCCCTCGGGGTATCTCTAGCCATCTTGGGGCAACCTCCAGAAGATCTGACTGGAATCTTGAGCTCGCTGTGCTAGCCAGAAGTCTGACTAATGGGGTCTCAAAGCAGGCTATGAAGCTGCTGGTTGGAACATACTTGGCCATTGGTTCCAGAGATTTCTGTCCTAGTTCCTGAAGAAGGGGAGGCTATGTTGGAGGACTGGAAAGGTCACAGTAGAGTCTGGGTTCTAAACATACCTCTGCCAGTCATTGGTTATATGGCTTTGGGCAAGTCACTTCCCCTCCCTGAGCCTCAGTCTCCTCATCTGTAAGGTGGGTGCAATAGCATATTCCTCAGAGTTATTGAGGGCATGAAATGGGCAATGTAATGTTAACACAAAGGTCCAAAGGCCAGGCCGACTTGGTGTAATTTCCAGCCTCGCCACTAGCTGGCACTTTCTTTATCTTTAAATAATATCTTTAGATAATAGTAGGACTTGTTACAGTTACGTTGAAGAAGAATGGATGGAGACCTGTAGACACAGGACAGTGCCTGGCACATAGTAAGCACACAAAACTATTTTTTGTCATTTGGGGAAAAAAACTTTGAAGGCTTTTCATACAAACTTTGAAGTGCTGTGTCTATGTCTATTGTACCAATATTATAATTGTTGGCCTTTGAGTATCTTCAGAGAAGTAAAAATGACAGCAGCCCTCATTTACTGAGTGCTCATGATATGCCAGTCAGATTTCTTAGACTTCTGAAGCTGCGTTCCTGGGGGAATATCAGGTCTGTTCCATCTCTAGTAGTCCACGCAGGGCAGACGATTCATATCCTGGAATCTTTAAGAGATTTGTTCTTAAAGGGTCGTGGTCCCGTCCTGCTGGATCTTTCTGTTGGTTCCACTTGTGGTTTCAGGATGACTCCATTGCTGATGAGTACACCGTGGACATTGTGGGAAGCCTGCTGTGTCACTTGCCGGCAACCATCATTGACAGGGGGATCTCCCCCAGGGCCTGGCCCACTGCTTTGCACGGCCTCAGAGATTGCCCGGACCTTAGCCCTGAGCAGAAGACTGCAGTGAGGCTCAAGCTCCTGGGACAGTATGGGTGAGGAGGGGTTGGGCGTGGCTTTGCGGGGAGGTGTGATGTTCTGTATGAAAGGACACGCCACCTTAACTCTCTGGCATATGCCAAATGGAGAGAGTCTTTGGCTTAGGATGAGATTAAAGATTTATTACACCTATTCTGGAAATGTGACCTTTCTTCTTTTGGCTTCAGATTCATGGGATCAATAGTAGCTGTCCTGCAGGTCTGACAGGGTTGTTGCCAATACAACTTGGCTTATGAGAGGGAAAGAATTTTGAAAAGATGGTGCTTTACAGATGCAAGGTGGTGGAATTATTATTACCTTAAAGACGATTTTTTTTAGAGTAGGTTTAGGTTCACTGCAAAGTTGAGAGAATGGTATAGATATTTCCCACGTCCCCTGCCCCCATACCCACATGACCTTCCCATTATTAATATCCCCCACCAGAGTGGTACATTTATTACAGCTGTTGAACCTGTATTGATATGATTGTCATTATCACCCAAAGTCCATAGTTTACATTTGGGTTCACTCTTGCTGTTGTACATTCTATGGGTTCAGACAAATAATGGATAATGACATGTAGCCACCATTATAGTATTATACAGAGTATTTTCTCTGCCCTAAAAATCCTCTATTCTCTGCCTATTTATTCCTATTTCATTCCTAACCCCTGGCAAGCCCTGATAGTTGTACCTTTTTAGAGAGTCATATAATTGGAATCATATAGTATGTAGCTTTTTCGGGTGGGTTTCTTTCACTTAATAATATGAATCTAAGATTCCTTCAAGTCCTTTCTTGACTTGATAGTTCATTTCTTTTTAGTGCTGAGTAATATTTCATTGTTTAGATATACCAAAGTTTATTTATCCACCCCTTTACTGAAGGACATCTCAGTTGCTTCCAAGTTTTGGCAGTTATGCATAAAGCAGCTATAAACATCCATATGTAGATATGTGTGTAGACATAAGTTTTCAGCTCCTTTGGGTAAATACTGAACAGTGTGATTACTGGATTGTATGGTGAAATGGATTTAGTTTTGTAAGAAGCCACCAAAATGTCTCTCAAAGTGGCTAGTTGATTTTGCATTTCTACCAGCAATAAATGAGAGTTTCTGTTGCTCCACATATTATTACTTTTGTTATGTTATAATAATAATAATAATAATATAAATAATAGAGACATTGTCACCCCCAGGTGGTTGATAACTCCTTGGGGGAAAGCAGAACTGTTCTTGCCTAGGTAGAGTTCTCTGAGGTAGGGTCAGATGTTTGAGTATGACCTAGCCATCAGTTAATGTTTCAGGTGGCAGACTTTTGTCTGTGTCTCAGGTGCTGTACTATTACATAGAGTTTAAGATCATAGACTCAGGAGTCAGATTCTTTGGGTTACAATTTTGTTTCTGTCATTTATAGTCTGCGTGACCTGGGAAAAGTTACTCAATCTTTTTGCAGTTTAATTTTTGCATCTGAAGAATGGGGGCAGTGATAGTGCCCCTAAGGAGCTGGTGATGATTAATTGAGCTTATGCCGGTCAAGGATTTATCACAGTCCTGGCACATAATGTTGAGTGTGTGATAACTGTTTTACTACTGGGACTGAAGGCACAGTGGTTATTACATTAGGTGTGGTTCCTGCACTCATGAGACTTCCAGTCTAGTGGGATAATATTTTTATCAAGGAAATAAAGGTGGAGGTTCTTTGGCTAGGAGTGGTTTGCCTTGATCCTAGAGAGGGGCCTTCACTGCTCACTGATAATTGGACAGACCTCCTTCAGAGATGTCACCAAAGGTTGTGTGATATACTTCGCTGTAGACATTTGCGATCTTTATAAGAATAACAGTGGATTCTGGGTCAATGCTGTTGTTCTGCCAAGTTCAAGATAAATTTTTTTCTTGCTGTAAGAGAGTAATTATAAGGGAGCAAATGTGTCATTATTCTTCTATTAAGAAGGGGAGGAAGGAAATACTGATGTAAATGATAGAAATTCAATAATTCAGTTAAAGCTAAAAATAGGAATTTATTGAGTTCAGAAATGAAATATAATGAAAAACTCCAAGGGTGAACTTCAGGCTGGATTCAGGTCTCAAATGAAGTAATCAGAAATATGTTTCTCCCATTCCTCAGTTACTGTTCCTTGGTGTGGCCTTTATTTTCTCTGCTCCGTGATAGAAATGCCCTCTAATATCCTTTTTATTGTGAGATACACCAGAAAAAAAGGAGAGCTTCTCTGGTAGTTCCACCAAAATTCCCAGGGATGACTTTGATTGGTCAGCCTGTATCACATGCCCATTTTCTTAGCTGGGAAAGTGGGACCATATGAATGGCAGCCTCTCCAGGCATGAAGATGAGCTGTTCCTGAAAGAAAGAAAAAAAATGCTGGGAGTAAAGGGCAACAGATGTGACCACAGCACGGTTTTTCATTTTACTGCCTTTATTTCTTTTTAGATTTCCTCAGAACTGGACAGCCGAGACTACGAAGGACTTGGGATCCTTTCTAGTACTTTTCTCAGGCGATGAATTAAGCTCTATTGCCACAAAGGTACCTCTGCACCCTATCTTAAGAAGGCTGAAGGATTTTGAAGGGTAGGGAAACTGTGGCCAGTTATATATAGTTTGCTGCCAGTCTGGGGTTCTGGAAGCTTCCTACCTGCCTCAAAGGGATCAGATGTTTCCAGCTCCACTGCAGGATGCATAAGTTCGGGGAAAGGGAGTAAGGCTGCAGCTGAATGAACTTTGGGCCTTCCACATGGCCCTCTAGGGAGATGCGTGCATTTAAGAACTGTCATTTGGCTACCATTCTGCTGTTTGCATGCATCTCCTGTGCATGCCTGTTCCTGCTCTTATACCCACCAGCGCCCTATGGTCATGCACATGCATGTCCAGTGTATGCAGTCCCGTGTGTAAACATATTTAATTCCAGGCCAGGCTTTATTAAGCTTCAACTTTGGGCACAACATTGCTTGGAGTAATGGGTCAAGAGTTAGACAGTCTAGACAAGGGACATGCAAACAAGCACAAAAACTTCGTCGTTTTTTGCTGCATAACAAAGCCACACAATCTCACTGGAATACAACAATGAGCATTTAGGTCTGAGCATGGTGGTTTATGTTGGTAATCTCAGCTCTTTGGGAAGTTGATGTGGGAGGATCACTTGAGGCCAGGAGTTTAAGACCAGCCTAGGTCACATAGTGAGACCCTATTTTTTTTCAACATACCATCTTTTTAAAAATTAAAATAAAAAAAACAATTGTAAAGATGTGGGGTACAATTCAGGGTTAGGTATACAAATGTTCTTTATGCAGGTACCCTTGTTGATGAGATGTGCCCCTCCCTCCCCTAGCAGTTTCCCTCAAC